CCCCCTTACGTTAGTTGTAGACAACGCTTTGACCTGAAGCACAGTAGGGAAAGAACGTTAAATAAAACACTGAAATTGTGAAAAGTTTGTTTAATAATGATCGTAATTATTAAGATTGTGAAAGCCCGGAAATTTAGTTGATGTACATTAATATAAACAAAACAAACAAAGCCAAAAGGTTTCGTACTCTCGCAAAAGTCACTGCCAAGGGTAAAAAGAGTACGACGAAGAAAAACCTTGCAGTTTGATTAAAACAGTCCAAAAGTTAATTAACAAAATATTTTGTAAAAGTTTAAGCAGTAGTTAACAAAGATAGTAAATGCATATACACAATGTTGGTTACACTCAAGGTTAAAAGCAAGTTTTTGGGGACAATGGGTCAGGTAGTAGCAGGTACCAAGATTCTGAGAAAGGGTGAAATACACAGGATGTGACTCACCTTTGGTGCAATAGTCCTTTTGTTAAAAGCAAGATGGAAAACTACATGGCCTTGTAGGCAAATTTGACTAAAAACAAAATATGTGAAAATTATTGAATCGCCACTCATTTAACGCACATAGATTCTAAACTGAAGAGCTTTGATTAGCGTAATCTCGCTCCTGCAAGATGGGTAGTCCGCCCCTGGTTTCGGGGTTTCGAACCTACAGTTGGATGTCGAAGACAATCACGGAATTAGGTGTCGTAACACAAATTTGACTACAGTTTTTTTCCACCCCCGTGACTGCTTCATCCACGAAGAAAATTGTTAGTAACAAACAAGTCAGTACATACATCAAACGAATCGGTAATTTCCACATATTAAAATAAAATGATCAAAACTTATATGAATGTAACTTCAGGGACAAGACCAAGTAATCAACATCAATAAACATAAATTAAGCAAACATTACACCAAAAACGTACACAATTACAAACAATAGTATAACGGTATCTCATATATGATTGCATTGCGGTTAAACCAAGTAAATTTCAAAAACAGAGATTCAAACACAACAAATATAAAATGCGGCATACAAAACACAAATACGATATAAAGAAATGCAAAAATTACTACCTGCATTAAATAACACAAAATAACAACATGGAGCGACGCGTTCACGATCGCCATTCAAGACAAGATGCCAAACGTAACTCTCGTTCGTGCTTTCTAGGTGGCGCAGGCAGCTTTTTTCCCACCAATGAATAAAGAATACCAGGAAGGAGAATATCAACAATATACGTGCGACCGCGATGGCTTTTGCAAATGGCGGACAGTAGTTTCCTGTTCCAGTGGCGTACCTATACCTTACAGTTGTAGAAGGATACAATTAATAAAGAATTTTACACGAAAACAATCTAAACCCCCATGTATCTACTCCGCCTATGACTTTTGTTTAACTAACCTCAAACTACATTCCGATAAAAAATTTGTAAATTTACATGTACTATATAAAAATAATATTGGTATCAATACTTACACATGAAATATAATTCCCAAACTTTTATTTTTTTCCGTTTTGGAGCAACCACAAGCACAACAACTAGCCATTATTTTATGTCACTGCAAAAACCACAACAAAAATGAGTCATAAGTGGCTTTTGCAAATGGCCGACTTCCGTCGCACTCTCTCTTGTATACAACCTGAGTAATGCTCCTTCCTGGTATTCTTTATTCATTGTTTCCCACCTAGAAATTGCATGGTGGTGCATATTGTCGAGAACCAGACGCAGTAGGCTTCATTTACAAAACTTAGCAATTGCTTTCACCGACGTCAGTTCCGTTACGATTCTCGGTTCAATGGCCAATGTACCTAGAGGTTTTGCTCTTCGCTGCGTTCTACTGACTTACCTAATTTACATAATCCACATTAATTGCGGGTTCACGTCAAACTTGATCAACATATTGACACTTCCGCAGTACGAGCATCAAATTGGTAACTTGGACGAGCTCTCGGATTCAAATCTACCGATATACATTTTGCAATCATTTCAACACGTATATTTCAACAGTACGGGAAACCTCTTGTATGAAAAGCTTAAGAGCTTGTGTGTCGCTCGCAAAACCGATGTAGGTATTAAGAATGCCGTGAACAATATACACGAGTACAATAATGCGTCCGCGGTGATGCTTTACAGAGACTTCGTTAAACTTGAGAGCAAGATGGGCAAGCAACTGAACGTTTATACATTTGCAAATAGCAGCGTGACCGGTACAGTACAAATTAGACTTAGTACTCGCCGTCACCACCATTTTTTTCCATACTTCGAACAATTTCTCGCTTTGTTGGCACAGTCAGGAATAGAGCTCAAACAATACAAAGATTATGACTCACAGTTTTTTCAGCGTTATAAAATGGCGCACGCAGAGCTACCAGATACGGTGGTCCTGTCCCTAACGCACCTTTGATTCGCGTTTGGCTTACTCGGAGTCGGTTTGACTGCGGCGACTATGGTTTTCTTCCTTGAACTAGTGGTTCATCGTTACTTCTCGTAAGGCTGCACGTAAGTATATTTGAATATTTGCATAAATCTATCCAATAATGAACTTGTGTTTAGCCTATTTTAGATAACAAAAAAAACAAGTCCATGGTTTAGTCCGGATATAAATCTACAAGTCGTTTCAGGATTACGATACTACAACACAGTAAAGACATACGAGTATAGTACGACTATTAACTTTCTGTCATAGTTTCCGGATTTATAAGATGTATATCGTAACCGTACAGGTTTATACCGTCGAGATACTTTACGGTCTTTTTATCGCATAGTTTAACCATACACTGAACAATGTTGGATACGTAAATGTTTTTAATAAATATGATGAACCACAATGACAGTTGAAGGTACTGGTATTACGGTTTGATGGAATCCATGACACAATCTCAACGCACCTTTAGAATCAGAAGCACCATTTGAATTAATGTGTTCTGAGCAAGGGGTTCTCACTCCCTTTGTACTTTGGTAGTCACGCCATGTGAGCACCTTCAAACAAATTTCACATGGAACTGTTAATTATATTTGCAAATGGTGCCGTTTTACTGGATTTAGGTATGAACAAGCCTATCTAATTCTAACCCTGTCCTTATGACTCATTACTAAAAGTTATATAAGGAATTGAGATCTGCTTATTGTTTAAAAACCACTACTGGTTCGATTATATTTGCTATGGGTGAATTTTTGTGGAAATTTGGCACTTTAGTTCCTCGATTCATGTGTGTTTTTGGTACCACGATTACGTCTATTTTAGATAAGACTGCAAAGATGTAAAATTCGTTTAAATTTGTTAATAAATGCACTGCAACAATTTAATTTGTTAATAGCCCACAGCCTTCATTCAGAGTATGTCATGGATGAACCGGTCAACGCCTGGAAATCGTCATGCCGTGCCGTCTAGCACACAGCCTTGTATATATGTACACAATAATTCAGTTGTAATGTTGTCAATTGTTCGCTTTGTTACTCGTGTATTGACTGGACTGGGTCTCCCATTTTGTTGTTTGTTGTGAACGCGTCGCTACATAAATGTTTGTTGTTAGTTTGTGTTATTTAATGCAGGTAGTAATTTTTGCAATTATTTATATCGTATTTGTGTTTTGTATGCCGCATCTTATATTTTTTTGTGTGTTTCAATCTTTGTTTTTGAAATTGACTTAATTTAACCTTATTTCAGAATCACATATTTGATACCGCTATCCTTTTGTTTGTAATTGTTTACGTTTTTGGTGCAATACTTGCTTCATTTATGTTTATTGATGTTGATTACTTGGTCTTGTCCCTGAAGTAGCATTCATATAAGTTTAGATCATTTTATTTTAATATGTGGAAATTACTGATTCGTTTGATGTATGTACTGACTTGTTGTTTGTAAACTAACATTTTCGCCGTGAATGAAGCAGTCACGGGGGTGGAAAACTGTAATCAAATGAGTTACGATACCTACTAATTCCGTAAGTAGGTTCGACTTTCAACTGTAGGCTCGAAACCCCGAACGAGGGGACAAAATTATGCTAATCAAAACTCTTCGGTTTAGAATCTATGTGCGATAAATGAGTTACGATTCGCTAAGTATATTTTTGCCGATAGTTGAATTTGCCTAGAATGCAATGTAATTTTCCATCTTGCTTTTAACAAAAGGACTGTATTGCACCAGGGATGAGTGTCATCATGTAGTCTTAACCCTTTCTCAGAATCTAAATACCTGCTCTTACCTGACTCATTGTTCCCAAAATGTGTTTTTTATCTTGGATGTAACCAACTTGGTGTACCTATAGGAATTTACTATCTTTGTTAACCACTGTTTAAACTTGATAATTTTACAATGATTTTGTTAACTAACTTTTGGACTGTATTAATCAAACTGCGAGGTTTTTCTACATCTTACCCTTTGTACCCTTAGCAGTTACTTTGGCGAGAGTACGACACCTTTTGGCTTTGCTTACATTAATGTACATCGGAGCTGGTACTGCTCGCGAGCGTTCCGCTCGAAAAAGCGCTCCAAGCGGAAAAAGCGCTTACGCGCGGTTCGCTCGCGAGCACTATTCGGAGCGGCCGCTTGGTGCTCGGTTTTGACACCAGTCTCGTATTTTGAAGACGGTGAAGGTGGTTTACCGAAATGTAAAATCGTTTACCTTTGGCATTTTAATCGTATTAAATCTGGATATGTTCCGTAAATTTATTTTGCATTCAGGCCGTTTAATTTTTGCTTTTACATTATGTTTACCGCAAGGTAAGCTTTTTACTATATACTTTTCGTTTCATTAATTACAAGGTGGTGGCAGGATGGTCTCGTTCTCCTGCAATTGCTTTCGCGTAGAAACCGCTACCGAATCCGATTATTTACTGTTCCCGCTAAGGGAAATTGCTGTGCGCTTTAAGTTTTGGTTTAGCATTCACCAGTAAGCGCCCACTTGCCCTTTAGAATTCCACCGCTCACCATTCGAATTACCTGGAGCTCATCATCGCCGACCGCAGAAGCAAGAGACACTGACAACTTCTAGTGCTGCCCGGAAGCGTTAAGTACTCCCGTTCCGCAGTGTCCTGCCACCGTTCCGCCGACTATCGCCGCCGTCACCCTCTACAGATTTTGACTTATGAATTACTGCTGGATGTTCCATTTTCTTACTTTCATTAAAGCAGCCGTTGGTTTCCGGGGAAAGTGCGTTGCAATTACACAAAGTTGGTTGCAGTCTAGGTTAAAACAAGTTTAAGGTGAGCGAATAATAATAAAAAAGGTGAGGTGCACAGGAAAAAGAAATAACCCTAATTGAACAAACATTTACACCAAAAATGAAAATGATTTCAAATATTAAACATTAACACAAAAATAACAACAAATGTAATACCTAGACGATGCTTTCTCGACCACCGCTAAAACCAAGATGCGTTGGTGCTGCTGAGGCGGCGCAGGCAGCTTCCCCCTTGTAATAAGTCGCGCGGTTCCCAGCTCTCAAAAATGTCATAATCGTAGGTTGTATACAGGGTGATTCCTATAGTACCTGCCACCGTTTGGGAGCGCATAGGGGGTGCCTAGGGGAGTATTTTGATATAGGACACTTGGGGTCGGAAATCTAAAATAAGGGCGCCAGAACCAAATTTATCTTCTGGAATTTCACGCCTGTATGTAGGCAACCCCACCGACCGACGTTTCGCGCGGAGCGATGCAGAGCGAGTTAGCGCGAGGAAGCGACATGGGAGGGAAGGAGGGAAAACGACAGTCAAAAGCAATAACGTTTACAAGTGTTCAACGTGGCCACCGTTGTTCTCAATGCACTGCCTACATCTAGCCAACTATTATTATACTATTGCCATAGTGTTTATTCACTTGATACGCGTCGTTGCAGACGGGATTTCGTGGGTTTAAACAAAATTCTGATCAAGTATCAGCCACACATCGCCGCCTGAGATCGCTCCGTGTGCACCGCCGGCCGGTTGGGTTGCCTACCTACAGGCGCGAAATTCCAGAAGGTAAATTTGGCTCTGGTACCCTTATTTTAGATTTCCGACCCCAAGTGTCCTATATCAAAATACTCCCCTACGCACCACCTACACGCTCCCAAACGGTGGCAGGTACTATAGGAATCACCCTGTATACAGGATGGAACCTCCAACTTCTTGTAAAAATTTACAAAAAATGTCCTTATACTCAATGGTGTTCTCGTTTGTCATTATGATTTGTATAAATTTTTGGGAAACTTACTACGGGTGAAGATTTTCCGCGCATGAATTACACAAAAAATAGTTTACTTACTTTACTTGCCTCGAGTTCTTAGGAACAAGGCCGTTCAGGTAGGATAGGATTAAGGGTATATTTTCAAGTCTCAAAAACAAGATAAGCTCTTTGTTTCCAAACTGCCACCACCTATACACGCCATTTGTAAATTACGCCATCGGCTCTAGCGTTAATTTGAATCGCTAATTACGTGAAAGAGACATCTACGCCTATGGGGACATTAAAGTAAAAGTGGCAACACTGTCGTGTCAAACAACATTTTAACCGTCCTTGAGAAAATTAAGCCGAGAACACACTGTCAATTTTTGATATAAAGTCAAGATAACGGGAATTTAAACAAGTTTGCCCCACTTCAATTGTCCAGATTCCCTTATTACGTCCCTAAGGAAGACGAGATCTGTTAATTTATCCTTAAAGCAGTGTCATATCGCCTAGCCATGCTTCCTGCCTGCGTTAGATCAATCGGCAAAACATCCCCTTCGAACGTTGTAAGTACAATTTTACACCCTAATCAATTTTTGCCAAGGTCTTGTATAACCTACAAACTTCGGGGAAGGTTAAATAAAGGTCCCTAAAAGAGATTTTACCGCATTTAAAGGGTATAATGAGCAAGGTTACGCGTAGCAGTTTGGTGAATGTAAATTTTTTCAAATTCTTTATGTGATTATGTAATGGGCAAGTTTGTGTTGAATTCTGTTTCAGAAGGCCCTCGGGTTTTTGACGGGTGCGAAAAGTAGCTATGCCACCGAAGTCAAGTTTGATACGAAGGTACAGTTGAATTCTGTGCTATGAAAATATTGTCTAATTCCGTTTTAGCCCTATCGGTTGCATAAATTGGACCAAGCTCCCGCATCTACGGCGACCCTGACGAAAGACGATGCGATCCAGTACTATACACAGATGCACACCATACGTCGGATGGAGACCTCGGCCGGTAACCTTTACAAGGAGAAAATTATTAGAGGATTTTGTCATCTTTATTCGGGGCAGGTTAGTACAACTGCAATCGGTGGTACCTATTCCATCACTGATGGAGCAAGGTGCTAATTTCTGTAAGGGACTTAAGCTTGTTTGCGGGGGGTGCATATTGCATTCCATATGAAAGATCTGGAGGTGGACATGTGTAGCGCCTAGGATATAATTTTGGGAGGGGGTGAAAGAAATAGATTCTTTCAGAGAACTAGGTATACTCACACGATCAAAGTTCCCTCCCCCCCTCCATTTTGTTCTACATTTTCAAAATTTAGAAAGAACTTTAAATGAAACTTGACTATGTACCTATTCTAACGATCAACCCCCACCCCCCCCCTCCTATTCACTAGGTATAATTTCAACATTTAGGAAAATGTTTACGATCAAACCCCCCCCCCCCTTCGCGTTCCTCATTTTCGAAATTCAGAAAGAAAACATTAAGGAATCTGTTAAGTACCTACTCTCAAGATGGCAGTACCTACCCTCTCTCCTTCCTGTTTTACAATTTCAAAATTCAAAAGAAACCATTAATTAATCTTTACTCAAGATGAACCCCCCCCCCCCACCCCGTTTTTAACAATTACAAAATCAGAAAAATATTAATGAATCTACCAAGTACATACTCTCAAGATCACCCCCCCCCCCCCCTTGTTTAACAATAAATTTCAAGTCACAAGAAACCATCAATGAATCTTTACTACGTACGTACTCTCACGATCAACTCCCCCCCACCACCTCCTTTAAATGAAGCTTGACTACGTACCTACTCTCACGATCAAAGTCGGCCCCCCTCCTACTCGTTTTATAATTTCAACATTCAGAAAAAAACGTTTGATGAATTTTTACGATGAAAACCCCCCCTCCCTTCTCGTTCCATATTTTGGAAATTCAGAAGCAACCATTAATGCATTTTTACTAAGTACCTACTCTCAAGATGAAGCCCCCCCTCCTCCCGTTTTACAATTACAAAATTCAGAAACAATATTAATGAATCTACCAAGTCCATACTCTCAAGATCCCCCCCCCCCCCTTGTTTAACAATAAATTTCAAGTCACAAGAAACCATTAATGAATCCACTACGTACGTACTCTCACGATCACCCCCCCCCCCTCCCTAATTTAAATGAAAGCTTGACTACGTACCTACTCTTCTACGTCAATGAATCTACAAGTACATACTCTCAGATCAACCCCCCCCCCCCTGGTTTAACAATAAATTTTCAAGTCACAAAAAACCATTAATGATCTTACTACGTACGTACTCTCACAATCACCTCCCCCCTCCTTTAATCTGCTATTTAAGCTTGACTACGTACCTACTCTCACGATCGAGTCGCCCCCCGCCCTCCTACCTCCGTTTTATAATTTCAAGCATTCCAGAAAAAAAACGTTTGATGAATTCTTACGAATGAACCCCCCCCCCCTGCCCTTCTCGTTCCATATATTTTGGAAATTCAGAAAGCAACCATTAATGCAACTTTTACTAAGTACTGCTCTCAGATGAAAGCCCCCCTCCTGCCGTTTTACCTTACAAAATTTCAGAAACAGTATTAACTGATCCTACAAGTACATAACTCTCAGATAAACTCCCCCCCCCCCCCCCCTCCTGGTTTTAACAATAAATTTCAGGTCACAAAAACGCTTAATGAATCTACTACGTACGTACTCTCACGATCACCCCCCCCCTCCTTTAAATGAAATCTTGACTACGTACACTACCCCTAGATCGAAGTCGCCCCCACCCCCCCTCCTACTCGTTTTATAATTTCAACATTCAAGAAAAAAAATCGTTTGATGATTCTTACGAAATGAACCCCCCCCCCCCTTCTCGTTCCATATTTGGAAATTCAGAAGCAAACCATTAATGCACTTTTACTAAGTACCTACTCTAAGATGCAAGCCCCCCCCTCCCCCCTCCTTCCTTCGTTCAATTTTGAAATTCAGAAGCAACATTAATGCAGACTTTTACTAAGTACCTCTCTCAAGATGAAAGCCCCCCCCCCCTCCTTCTCGTTCCATATTTTGGAAATTCAGAAGCAACAATTAAACTGCACTTACTTCTCAAGATCACCCCCCCCCCCCCTGGTTTAACAATAAATTTCAAGTCACAAGAAACTATTAATGAAATCTACTTACGTGCGTAGTCTCATGATCAACCCCCCCCCGCCTCCTTTAAATGAAGCTTGACTTTACGTACCTACTCTCACGGTCAAAGTCGGCCCCCCTCCTACTCGTTTTATAATTTCAACATTCAGAAAAAAACGTTTGATGAATTCTTACGATGAAAACCCCCCTCCCTTCTCGTTCCATAGTTTGCAAATTCAGAAGCAACCATTAATGCATTTTTACTAAGTACCTACTCTCAAGATGAAGCCCCCCCTCCTCCCGTTTTACAATTACAAAATTCAGAAACAATATTAATGAATCTACCAAGTCCATACTCTCAAGATCCCCCCCCCCCCCTTGTTTAACAATAAATTTCAAGTCACAAGAAACCATTAATGAATCCACTACGTACGTACTCTCACGGATCCACCCCCCCCCCCCCCCCTTCCCTAATTTTTTAAAAGAAGCATTGGACTACCGTACCTACTCTCACCGATCCAAATTGAACTCTTACCAAGTACATACTTCAAGATCAACCACCCCCCCCCCCCCTTGCGTTTAACAATAAATTTCAAGTCAACAAACACCCCATTTAATGAATCTTTACTACGTACGCTACTCTCACAATCACCTCGCCCCCCTCTTTATCTTGCTATTAAGCTTGACTACGTACTACTCTCCGATCGAAGTCGGCCCCCCCCCCGCTCCTACTCGTTCTTATAATTTCAAATTCAGAAGAAAAAAAAAAACGTTGATGCAATTTTTCTTACGTTAAACCCCCCCCCCCTCCCTTCTCGTTCCATATTTTGGAAATTCAGAAGCAACCATTAATGCACTTTTACTAAGTACCTGCTCTCAAGATGAAAGCCCCCCCTCCTGCCGTTTTACAATTACAAAATTCAGAAACAGTATTAATGAATCTACCAAGTACATACTCTCAAGATAACNCCCCCCCCCCCCCCCTCATTCTACATTACCCCTCTCTTTGTTCTATATTTTCAAAATTCAGAAAGAACGTTTAATACGTATGCACCCCCCACAGATTCAAAAATATAATCTAAAAAATCTGCATACAAGACCCCGTCCCCTGCCGTGCCTTTTGGTTAATTAAAACGAGATTGTATTGCGACTACGAGATTTTATGAAGGGCAAGTACTTGTTCAAAATTAAACACTAATGAAAAGAATGAGATCAAAAGTACCCCCTCCCCTTCCTACTCGCTGTGAAGCGTTACACAAAAATTTGTAAGGAAAGCCCTCGAACGGAATATCACTATGTAACATTAAAAAATAAATTAAAAAAATCTGCATACTTTCAGTTGCCTACACCTCCTCCCTCCCCTTCAGTGCCTTTTGATTAATTCTACTGAGACTGCAGGTATAGCGACAAGGCCTTGTAAAGTGCAAGTGGTTGTTGATAATTAAACTCTAAGAATAAATAAATGATGAGGAGCAACAGTACCCCCCCTCCCTCCCCCTCACTAGAGTGTATGGTGAAGCGTTATACAGTTTATTAGGAAATAATATAAATGTTAAACATTCTGCATACTTTTTCAGTTTTCAGTTGGTACTAGACAGATATTGGGGGATCAAGTGACCCCCCCCCCCCACGTTTTCCTCGTGGTCCGTGAAGCGTTATACAGTTATTTAAGAGAAGTTCTGTAAGGTAATGTTACCATTCAAGATTCAAAAATAATTGTTTAAAAAAATCGTGTACGAGCCCCCCCCCCCCCCCCCCGCCCCTTACGTCTACATTTTTTGAAATCAATTATTGCTATTAAAGGAAGCAGTGGCGGTGGGAATCAAAGCAGCTTTACGTCCCCATGACGCCGTCATAACGGCATACCGCGCTCACGGATGGACCCACCTCATGGGAGTGAATCACATCGGCGTGCTGGCCGAGTTGACCGGCCGACAGAGCGGTTGCGCTCGCGGCAAGGGCGGCTCCATGCACATGTACTGCAAGAACTTTTACGGCGGTAACGGTATCGTCGGCGCACAAGTATTGCGACGTTGCCATCAACTCGACGGTATCAATAAGCTTATGTTTCAAGGTACCCCTTGGCGTCGGCATCGCGTTGGGTTTAAAGTATCAGGGAACCGACGGAGTCTGCGTAGCTTTGTACGGTGATGGGGCCGCTAATCAGGGTCAGGTGTTCGAGGTGTACAACATGGCTAAACTTTGGAACCTCCCTTGCATTTTCGTTTGCGAGAATAACGGTTATGGTAAGATGTGATTGGCTGCGCGCGCAGCTCTCAGTTTTTCGTGCGCAGGAATGGGCACCAGCGCCGAACGCGCGTCCGCCAATACCGACTACTACACTCGAGGAGACTACGTGCCAGGTCTCTGGGTGGACGGCATGGACGTTTTAACGGTACGCGAGGCGGCGAGATACGCGGTCGACTTTTGCGCGTCGGGTAAGGGACCCATACTATTAGAGACCGCCACGTACAGATACTCGGGACATTCCATGTCGGATCCTGGGACGAGTTATCGAACCAGAGACGAAATTCAGGAGGTCCGACAGACTCGTGATCCGATTACGTCGTTCAAAGAGAAAATTACGTCCTGCAATTTAGTATCGGCCGAAGAGTTAAAGGTGGGTCGACAACGTAAGGGCATAATTTCAAATGTAATTCTAGAAAATCGACGGCCAGATTAAGTCGGCGGTCGACGAGGCAACGAAGGTCGCCAAGACAGACGCCGAGATCGGGGTCGAGGAGCTGACCACCGACATTTGCGCCAATAATTTGGAGCCGTCGATTAGAAACTGTTCGCCCTTTAACTCACTCCCGCATCAGCGACTCGGACCGGCTGTCAATTTGTAGTGGTAAAACGAATTTAGGTAACTATTTGGGGTAGCCGAGCTTATTGCTCGCTCAGCTCAATTGTTTTATTTATTTTGTAAAGTTTACTGTAAATAAATTTGATTGATTGTGTTTTGGTTGTTACGGGTGAAAATCGCCGACGGGAATCGAGTTTCTAGATTGTCCCACTACACTACCCCCTTCTGGTTTTCTAACGGTGAAGGTTATAGTTGAAATATACATGACTCTCGTTCCAGCATGACCTGTAATTGACCTTGCGTACAGTAATGGTGGGTCACCCTGTGTGATGCATTTCAATTTTGTTTGAACTCGATGTTTATTTTATTTAGTGATTTAATGTTGTTAATTTTGTTTAAATAAACGCCTTATGTTTTGATTATTTGATTGTATTGGAAGGGACAATTGGAAATATGTGTGTTTAATGTCTTGTAAAAGTTTATCTCTGGTCATTGCGATAAGATTAGCTGTGTAAAAGATAATTAAATTTTCAGATAAGCACCTGTTATCGCCGAAGTAAGCAGGTGTTGGGTTTTGACCACGCGCATTAATTTGATAAGGAGATGGTTCTGAAAGTGGACAAGAAATTTGCTTTTGCATCATTATAGAAAACTTAGTTTGTTCAATCAATGGCTTGTGGGTGGTACTTTATTTATACTACCTGCAGGGGCGGACTGGCACAGGGGGGCGGGTGGCGATTGCCACCTGGCCTGTAGATCATAATGGCCCGTTGGAAATTTATAAGTATGTGCTGTATTTAGTTTCTTGTACTATTAATAAATTATTAACACGTTTCTCTAATTGGGGTTGATGTTAGGTTGTTAAAAATTCTGTTTTAATTGAAGTGTTTTACAATGAATTTATCATTTTTTGTCGTAGCTGAAATACAATGATAGGCGACGCACCTCGTGTGGATTGTATATTTTGTTACTTTTAATTATCAGCTGCAATTAAAAAAAACTGTATGGTAATTGATTTTCGAGAAAGGAGTACTTTAAAATGTTTTTGTGGTGCACCTCAGAGAGCTACCCCCCCCCCCCCCCCCGGCACCTTCATTACTACACTAATACTTTAATGGCTCAAAAAAAGGCAGTGTATAACCTTCCTTTTTTACCAAAAATCGACTGCACCAAAATTTCTCGGGAAAACACTTTTTCTTATTAATTTTGGTGCGTAGAATCCAAAACAATTCGTACTTTTTCGATCAGACTTCTCAATCAAAAGTTATAGACTAGAAACCAATTTCGAAAAAAATTCAAAGGGCTGTAACTTTTGAACTAGTAGCCCAAACTTGGAACTGTTTGAAATTATGGATTCTACAGGCCACATTCTATAAGAAAATTTTTTTCCAGGTCGATCCCCCATCATTACTATACACTAATACTTTAATGGCCCGTAACCTATGCAATTCCACCTGGCCCGCAGTTACCCAGTCCGCCCCTGAATACCTGCGTGCTTCTTTCTTACAGCGGATTATTGTTGAATAGAATGTGTTTCTTGACCGTTTGGGGTTCTGGGGGGTACTTATTTTGACCCTTTTCGCCGTGAAGCGGAAATTCCAGAGATGTGAATGTAACGAATATTATATTGCGACATCCAGCTGTTGTTAATCACGCAGCTCATCTGTAGCTTGTGATATTCCGAACAAGGGAGCAGCTACCTATGCGAGGGGTCGGATTTGTTTTATTGCCTGCCTTCATCCTGCCTGTTCTCTGTTCTACAACTTGCATTGAATCTGTTTTTAGAATAATAAATATTTGAACTGCATGTCTTATGTGTGTGATTTTACTGTTATTATCTGAGTGTTCTAAACCATTTTTCGCATTGCCTTTATTTGCATAAATTCGAAAAGTATGCAGGAAGTTTTGACAGCTGTTACCATTTCTTGTGTAAATGTTTTGTTTGTAGAAATTAACGAATTGCTTTATATGTGCCGACGAACCCTTTTTGCAGTGATGGGACAATCCCAGGGACGTGAATATCTGTAACGAATACCACGACATCCAGCTCTGGGATGTGATACTCCGAACGAGGAGGCAGCTACGTATGTGAGGGGTGAGGATTTTCGCTGAGGTAACGAAATCATTACGAAATTCTCTTTATTGTACACATGGAGTAAAAAAATGTATACCGTTGATTTGTATAAACGTCACGCCTAATCTCAACCGATACTGTACGGCATTTTTGCTACTGTAAAACCTTTCGCAGTGCATAAAAAACGAGTTCGCGCAAAGAATCCACAGCCACATATACCACTGTTTAAAAATAATATTGTTTAAAATATAGATTCCTAATATTGAGAATTAATACACGAGTTAAAGTTTAATCTTGTCGTTCCTCTCGAGATCGTCGTCACATTTCAGTTGCTTCTCCTCTTCGATTACAGTCATCGGGCTGTAAATTGTAAAACTAAAGATTGCACATTAATAAATCGCGCGAACCTTCCGAATGTCTCGCAGTCCGCTATCGTGGCCGGCAATTTTTGGTTGAGCGTCTCTGGTAGGAGCAGGGATAGGCATCCGGCCAAAAGCGATAGGATTCCGAAGATGATTAGCGGAAACGGTTTCCATACTTCGTTCTGGAACCGAAGGGATAATACCTACGGTAAGGATGACGATGGAAACTCACGCTCAAGTTGATGAGGGGAGCGGATATCGAGCCTATACGCGCGCACATCGAACCTGCTCCGAGACCGGCGTTTCGGATTACCGTCGGGAATTGCTCGGTGGAGAAAATGTATACTGTTCCATAGCTTGCAGTGATCGCCAACTTTCCGATCATCGCCAGCGTCACCGTCATCCAGGGATGCGCTACGAAACAAGTTCATCAAAAATAACTCACTACCATTCCAGGGAGTTTTTCGGCAGACAATAATTATCGAACGTACCTTGCGGTACAGCCATCGTGAGCAGCAGAGCAACGCCGGCGGTGACCATACATCCGCACAGAATCGATTTACGACCCCATCTGTTTAGGGTGAGAAGAAGGAACGTGTACGCTGGAAGTTCAACCGCACCCGCAATCACAAAATTGACGTAGTCGTTTCCGCCTAAATTACTCGTGTTCCACGACAGACCGTAGTAGGTCATGCTGTTGACCATCCTAAAACAGAAAAAAAACCATTGAGGCCTTACCAGAATATATTTGGTACAATATTCCGTGAAATACGCTCTGAATATTTTTTGAAGATATTCTCGCTACAAATTTCCATCATGAGAATATAATGGAATATTCTTTTAAAATATTCCGAAACACTTTCTTGCTAGTTTAAGGATATTCCTAATAATAAAATAAATTAGGCCATAATCACTTTGAGTCCTTACAACCAACCTTACTTCCTTAATTTTTATGAATATTTTTCTGTGATCATAATGTTAGTCAATACAACAATGAATATACTGAAACTGTTGCATTTTCTTTTTAGTTTAAGAATATTAAATAGAATATATCGGGTCATTATTTTTTCCAATATTCTGTGTGTGCTTATTTTTTAAACAATCTCAAATTAAAAAGTGACAGTTCGGATAAGGAATATTCTATTAATTTATGAGAATATTCCAACGTTGCCATTTTTTTGGTAATATTCGGGGTGTTTGAAAAAAATTAGTTTCGATTTAAACAGTGACTTTATCTTTATTGACGGCCAAGCCAATATTTTAGACATTAATTTCAATACTTAATATGTAATCAAAACTCATCTTTAGTAAAAGATAATTATGTATGATTAGATATTAATCGTAAGAATAAATTATAACTTGTTCGTAACACATCGGATAAGGAATATTCCATTACTTTATGAGAATATTCCAACGCTGCCATTTTTTGGCAATTTTCTCTGTGTGTGCTTGTTATTTAAACAATCAACTTCAAATTAAAAAATGACTTGTACGCAACTCATCGGATAAGGAATATTCCATTACTTTATGAGAATATTCCAACGCTGCCATTTTTTGGCAATATTCTGCGTATGCTGGTTTTTTAAACAATCAACTTCAAATTAAAAAATGACTTGTACGCAACTCCTCGGATAAGGAATATTCCATTACTTTATAAGAATATTCCAACGCTGCCATTTTTTGGCAATATTCTGCGTGTGCTTGTTTTTTAAACAATCAACCTCAAATTAAAAAATGACTGGTTCGCAACTCATCGGATAAGGAATATTCCATGACTTTATGAGAATATTCCAACGCTGTCATTTTTTGGCAATATTCTGCGTATGCTGGTTTTTTAAACAATCAACTTCAAATTAAAAAATGACTTGTACGCAACTCCTCGGATAAGGAATATTCCATTACTTTATAAGAATATTCCAACGCTGCCATTTTTTGACAATATTCTGCGTGTGAATGTTTTTTTTAAACAATTAAGAATATTCGTTAAATAGAATAATTATCGGGTCATTATTTTGGCAATATTCTGAATTTGCTTATTTTTTAAACAATTAATCTAAATTAAAAAAGTGGACAGTTTGGATAAGGAATATTCCATTTAATTTATGAGAATATTCAACGCTGCCCATTTTTTGGCAATTTTTCTGCGTATGCTTGTTTTTAAACAATTCAACCTCCAAATTTAAAAAATGACAGGTACGCAAACACATCGATAAGGAATATTCCATTACTTTATGAGAATATTCCAACGCTGCCATTTTTTGACAATATTCTGCGTGTACTTGTTTTTTAAACAATCAACTTCAAATTAAAAAATGACAGGTACGCAACACATCGGATAAGGAATATTCCATTACTTTATGAAAATATTCCAACGCTGCCATTTTTTTGGCAATATTCTGTATATGCTTGTTTTTTAAACAATCAATCGCAAATTAAAAATGACTGATTCATAATTCATCGGATAAGGAATATTCCATTAATTTATGAGAATACTCCAACGCTGCCATTTTTTGACAATATTCTGCGTGTGCTTGTTTTTTAAACAATCAACTTCAAATTAAAAAATGACTGGTACGCAACACATCGGATAAGGAATATTCCATTACTTTATGAGAATATTCCAACGCTGCCATTTTTGGCAATATTCTATGCTTGTTTTTTAAACAATCAATCGCAAATTAAAAAATGACTGGTTCGCAACTCATCGGATAAGGAATATTCCATTACTTTATGAGAATACTCCAACGCTGCCCTTTTTTGACAATATTCTGCGTGTGCTTGTTTTTTAAACAATCAACTTCAAATTAAAAAATGACTGGTACGCAACACATCGGATAAGGAATATTCCATTACTTTCTGAGAATATTCCAACGCTGCCATTTTTTGGCAATATTCTGCGTATGCTGGTTTTTTAAACATTCAATTTCAAATTAAAAAATAACTGGTACGCAACACATCGGATAAGGAATATTCCATTACTTTATGA